CACGTTTTACGCGGATTGCTGTATTTCCTCGAGAAATTAATATTTTTCAATAAAATTTGAAACATAATAAGTTTAACATAAGTATTAATAAAGTGCCAAATTATAAGTGAATCGTATTTATACTTTTCCTGCAATCCAAGCTCAAAAAATCTTGATTTCAAAATGTCTTACCCCCTTAAAATAAATATTACTAAATTCTAGCTTAATAAAACCAAGTAGCTTTTGTTTTATTAAATAATACACGTTAAAATTTGTATTACTTTCACAATTGTAGAAATTATATATTATATAAAACTAATTAAATACATGTATGAAGATAATAAATACTTTACATTAATGCAATGCTAACACGACGTAACTATTACAGATATGCCAAAACGGTAAACATTATATTTAATCAGGTGCTATTCGTTCAGTTCTTTGGTAGTATATTGGTATTATGTACAAGCGTATATTATCTGTCAATGCATATTGCAGAATTTTCTGGAATTGCAACTTTATTAGTATATACCATTTGCATGTTTGTACAAATCTACGTTTACTGCTGGTCTGGAAACGAAGTCATTCTTAAGGTAATTATAATACATACTCTTCATTCTTTACGTGTTCTATCAAACTGATTGTGAGATCATGGAAAATTAAAACTATTTTTATTATTACAATAATTAGATTTTTTATAAGATTTGGTTTACATTATCTCATGTAAGACGATCTATTGATTCGTTTCGAACTATTCAATGTACGCGCACGTGTGTGAAGAATATGGGGGAGCCTTATCTTCTTCACGTCCTCACTGTGAGCCCTAGCTAGCGATAAATAACACCAATATCTTAATTCAAATGAGCATAACTCTGCGAAAAAAACCTCAACAATCCTGCATTGTTCTCGTTTCGAAAAGCTCTTTCAAAACGAGCCCTCACTCGATTCCTGCACATGTCATTTAAGATTTTTTAGCTTTTCTTCCTCCCCCGGTCCCCCGAGGGGGTTAAAGAGGGTGTTTTCGAGGTTAAATGATAGATTTCATGATGCCATTGTAACCCTATAAATTTTATTCCAATATCTCGAAAAATTCAAAAATTATTAGATAGCCCGAAATTTTTAGCGGGTATCGTATATTAAAACACGCTATACTTGTTGGTATTATTTGTAAAGTGATAATTTTATTTATCTTTTGTTGACAGAGTATGAGCGTAAAGGATGCTATATATTGTATGGACTGGCCACTATTATCAGTTAACGAAAAGAAGGAATTGCTGATGATCATGATACGAAGCACAATTCCCATAAAGTTCACTAGCAGCTTCTTGATAACTCTGTCCCTTCAGTCTTACAGTAATGTTAGTAGTATTGTTGTAACAAGTACTTTAGTAAAAAATAAATAAATATCGTAGACATTTGTAATATCGCAAGTCGCAAAAGCGTCGAAATTTTTAGTATCTAACTAACTTATACATAATATTCTACATTAACGTTTTTTTTTCTTTTTATTTGCCTTTTCCAGATCTTAAAAACATCGTACACGGCATTTAATGTACTTCAAAAATAAAATATACATAATCAAAGTGTATACTTGGACATGTAATTATGTAGTTTTTCATAAATTAGTGACATTAAATCTTAAAATGTGTTTATGTATTTATTTCAACCTTTTTCTTTATTCCACGTGAATCTACTCTAAAAATAGTAAATTGAACACACAAACATTGAATATATGCATTTTACATTATTTTAATATAATATGAAATACGCATATGTTTTGATTTCAAATACAAGCTGGACTAATTTTGACTTTAATATGCGATCAAGAAAGAAAAATATTTCTCAGCCTACGCCATATGTCATATGTATATTGCGCATATGGTTGATTATATACATAGTTATTGAATACACTTGTATGCGGTGCACACACGTTCAGTGCATACGCGTAGGTACGTCTTTACTGTTAACGTAGAAAACACCTAAATATTTTATACATTGCCCTTATCGTTACATTGTAAGTCTTGTATTTTATGCAATAAAGTACGACTTTGCGAGAAATATGATCTTTCATTCAGTTCTGACAAACATGAAAATATACAAGTATTTTATTCGATGCGGAAATATAACAATGCGTGCGTGACTGTAAGGAACGATATCCCTCGATGATTGCAAGTAGGAAAACATTCACAATTATAGTATTCACAGGAGCGGAAAAGAACACACCCCGTAATAAATGTCTAATCGACTATACATGTCGATTTTTTAATGACAGTTATTAACGGTACTAGGGTTAAGAGCTCCAAGTATATAAAACTACGTACGTATTAGTCTGCCGCAAGACGTGCTCGGTTACATTTAAGTAAATTTTATTGAACTTTATAATAATAAAACATGTTGTATGATTATTAGCATTTATCAATTTTGTGTTATATTATTAGCCAAAATTTTGAGAAAAGGTAAACGATAAATACGTGTAATTGTATCCACAAGTAATACGTATTGCATTTAAATTAAATAAGCTCTTACGATTCTCAGACCAAAATTACATTGCACGCGATCTATATGTATTAAATGAATAAAATATATCGCAATCAGACAGTCACATTTACGTCAAGTGCGCGATTTAGACATCAGTTTGTGGAATTTGATAATCGCGTAATTCATTTCACAGACATTATAGGTATACTGTCGTCTTTATTAAAAATTCAAATTTTATTTATATGATCATTTATTGTATGACTATGTACATATAGTCGAACATATTTAATAAGAATATTTAAGAAAAGTCATTTTTTCGTAATACTTTAAAGCTACTTTTTTAGATATTTTACATATAGAAAAAGACTGAATTTTTAAGCAACAGTTGATAAATTGTCTTTAGAGAGGGAATTTTAAACATGCAAATACTTTCTCTAAATTTTTTAATATATACTGTTTGTGGTTTATGGCGACCGATTAAATGGTCATCAAATGGTGCCAATCTTCTGTATGATGTACTTACTTGTATTGTATTACTCATTGAATACTTTCTTATGATCACTCAAATGTTGTATATCATTCTTGTTGTCAATAATATCGATGATTTTGTTACTAATTCTATAATATTCGTGAGTGTTGCTGTTGTCATATGTAAAGAGAGTGTCGTTGTAATACGTCGCAATGCAATCATTAGCTTGGTGCAAATATTATTGAAGGATCCATGTAAACCTCGAGATGAGGACGAAGTTGCAATACAAGCAAAATTTGATAAGTTCATCAGGTAGGTATAATCACCTATACAATTATTATGACAGTCAAATGGTGAAGTTACAGTGTAAAGTATCTAACGTATAAATATCTACACAATAATTTAATTCGTGTACGATTGTTACGTATATCGTTTCTGACTTATTTGGGAATTCAATCAACATTGGTAAATATTGCCACTTTAGCATTTTCTAGAAAGCTTTTTACGTTTTTTTTTTTGTTAATTTTATATATTTCAGCTCTATCTTTTCCAATCTTTTGAATTTAGTTAAATTAATAAATATGTCTTGTGGAGTACAAAATTTCTAAACATTATTTTAAAAAAAGATACTCTTTCATGCATATTTTTTCGTTCTAATACACGGAGAGACTACAAAAACAGATAGATATAGGCACATGCAAATATACATACAATAACAATTAAATCGTATTATTTCAAGTTCTTATTTGAAAATTTAAATATACAAATAAAAGTGTAAACATTAATAAAATATAATTTCGATTCTACATTTATAGATCACGTTCAATAAAATACTTGCTTTTGGCGACAACCTCCCTTACAGGCGTCACAATAGGATCAGTATTAAAAATTATGCAAGGTCAAATGCCTTATTCAATATGGCTGCCATGGGATTACAATGTGCCACTAATGTTTTGGATTATATCCCTTCAGCAAGTCATAGGTGTAGCAATCGGCACTATCGCAAATATCGGTACGGAAACCTTAGTCTTCGGATAGTTATTGCAAACGTGTGCTCAGCTTGAAATTTTCGAAAATCGCCTGCGCAAATTAATAATTAATAAAACAGTTAAATATCTGGGGCATACACTCTTTTCGTTAAATGAAGACAAAACAAAAATATCGGAATACATACAACATCACCTCATCATTTACAAGTAAGTCGCTTAATTGAGAATCTATTTTTATGCATGTAATCCAATGTCTTTTTATATGTGTGGCTATATTTGTATAAATGTTTATATTATTTAATTGTTGTCTATCTAAAAACTATCTGCTATTATGTATTTATATTATATAACAATACTTATTTATATTTACAATAAAAAGTTGTGAAAGTTGAAAGATAATATAATTAATGCTACTGATTGCTATGGAATTAATAAATAATTATTACATATTTGATAAGAGAGCATTATATCTACTTGATTTTACAAGAAGCGTTCAAATTTAAATTAAAATTCAAAGAATATACAAAAAAATGAAAGAAATACAGCAATGTAAGTATTGTAAGTTATATTTAATTTTTAACATAGTCTCCTTGATTTACAATGCACCAGCTGTGCCATATCGTTCCAATAGCTTTTGTACTTATCAAGAAAAAAATCTTTTAGCTGCAGACTAATTCTGACTCTCAAACAATTGTTGTAATGATCTCTGCATTAGAGATAAACTTTTTCCAATTCTCTTTATTCTATTTACGAGTGTGATAAAAAAATACGATGAATGTTGAAATAAAAAGAAAAGACTCATTATATATTAGAGATTAAAAGATAAATTGCAATTAGTCCCCCTCGAATACTCTTATCCCATCAATCTTATCACTTGCTAAAACAGTATTGGAAGTCCTCCTTTATAAGTTTCATAGTTGCGCCGTCGTAATTATTTTGATACCTTGAATTGATTCAAAACATTCACCTTTCATAATCATTTTGATTTGGGGAAAAGCCAGAAGTCACACGGTGCCAAATCCGGTGAATACGGATGAGGACACACCATATAATGTTTTTATTTAACAGAAATTACCGTGTCAGAAGCGCGATGTATGACACAGAGCGTTGTCATGATAGAGGATAAAACCATTTGCTCATTTCTCAGATCTTTTTCTATACACATTCTTCGTTTCCTAAACGCTCTAATAAGCCTTTAAGATATTCAGAGTGTACCGTACATTTTGAATCAATTGAAGACATCGAGGCAGCACGACAGCGCAACTATAAAGGCATTTATGAAAGAAAACTTCCAGTACTGTTTTAGCAAGTGACAAGAACGATGGGATAAGTGTGAGAAGCGAAGGAGAGTATTTTGAAGGGGACCAATTGTAATTTGTATTTTAATGCAATAAGTTTCTTTTAATTTCAACATTCACCGTATTTTTTGATCACAGTAATATGTACACACATGTAATATATATTTAACATTATTGAATTAAATTTTAAATTTCAACGCTCCTTGAATTCGATTCGTTATTATATTCTATTTGTTATTATATAAACATATGTTATATTATAGGGTATTAAAGAAAAACCATTCAACATCTACATCTATGGTAGATAATACATTAGTACTGAGTAAAAAAACCTTAGTGAACATAAATCGAAAGCTCAACCGTTTCTGAAATATAAACATTTTTGTATGTAGCGTTTTGTACGTTAGACGTAAAACGTCGCGTCAGAAGCATTTTCATTAGCATGTCCATACAAGAAATGCATACCTGCCATTTTTTGAGAATAATACGCCAACATGATTTTTAACGATATCTTATAAATGTGTAATCACCAAATAATATGTGAATGTGATTGTTCTATTTATCATATAAATGCTGAATTGTTTTAATTTAAATACCCTGTATATTTGTTATTATTCCGTAGTAATTTACGTAGATATATTAGAACTACATTTAGATATAAAATCTACATTTAGATTTATATCTATATTAGTTAAACTATTATAATTGTAGGAATCCGGGGAAAAAAGTTCCATATATAATTATATATAATTATATGCAAAATATGTCCATATATGTTTCTTTCCTTTGTAAAATTATTCTTTAATACAAAATTGATAATAATAAGAAAGGAAACATAAAAAATGATTGAAA